AAAAGAATTTTATTTAATGAATGTTTTGAAATCAAAGCTATCTCACATTTAGGTATTCATGGAAAAAAACTACATTCATAATCTGCAAAGCTTAAAGGAAACCTTTTGAAATATTGGCATGTCTGAATCATTTTATATTCTGTATGTAGCACAGTATTGACTATATGGTAAGCATTCTGCAGAATTAAATTGGTAAAAAGTCACCTAAGGGCGTAGAAAAACTTCTGAGAAACAATTTGTAAATGTGAGTCAAATACCATAAAACTGTTTACATTGCTTTGACCCAATAAATTTACTTTAGTGAATTTATGCTGTCTTAAATACTGAGGCTTATGCACAAAGCTCTTTATTGCAATGTTATTTGCAATAACAAAATAATTAGTAATAATCAGTTTTGTTGAGTAGTTAGATAAAGCGTATCTTGACACATTTACTGAAAGAAACATGCAGCCAATAAAACGAAGCTTGTCAAAACTAGATGGCAATGTGGAACATTCATATGATGTAATACAACTACAAAAGGCTGACATAAAATTTGTGTATGGTAGAGCTGTAATCGTGTAAAAATTAAATACACATTCCTAGAAAAAGTAATGCTAGCATAGATTGTGTTTGGATGGAACTACTATTGGTAATTTTTGTCTCTTTAATTTTTCAAAACTACACATCTTTTAAAATGAAACTGCTGAATTTAGCTAAACACCCAGTTGTTATGCTTAGAAGCTAGTTGTGTTGAACTGAACCTTTCTTTTCTCTACCCAAACTATTTTCTATGTAAATATACTCATGATGGTTAGTTGGCCACGAATAAGAAACCAGTTGGCAGAGGTAAAGCTTTAATTAATATAAACCTCGCTAACTGAAGATTAACATATATTCACAGATCTAAGATTCTTATGAAATAAAAAGCCCTAAATGAGTAGCAAGTTAGGTTTTTTTTTTCAATATGGCTGACTGGAGACATTGGATGCCAGTTCTCCTTAGAAAGAAGACTTGTGGTGGCTCACTCCTGTAATCTTAGCACTTTGGGAGGCCGAGGTGGGTGGATCATTTGAGGTCAAGACTTTGAGACCATCATGGTCAACATGGTGAAACCCTGCCTCTACTAAAAATACAGAAATTAGCCAGGCATGATGGCAGGTACCTGTGGTCCCAGCTATTCAAGAGGCTGAGGCAGGAGAATCACTTGAACCCAGGAGGCAGAGGTTACAGTGAGCTGAGATGGCACCACTGTACTCCAGCATGGGTGACAGAGAGAGACTCCATTAAAAAGGAAAAAAAAAAAAAAAAAAAAAAGAAGAGAAAGGAGTCAAAGACTCAAAGTTACAGTTGAAAAATTATAAATAGAATTTCAAGAGGAAAGTGCTGGACCATAGTGGAGAACTCGCCAGAAGAAGCTAGGGCACAGAAAATCAATGCACCAGGAAATGGCCATACTTCTTGAAGCAATCTCTGAATTCAATGCAATCCCATCAAAATATCAATGCTATTTTTTACAGAATTAAAAAGAAACAATACTAATATTCATATGGAACCAAAAAAGAGCTCAAATAGAAAAAACAACAAAAGAAAGAAGCTAGAAACATCACATTCAAATGATACTACAAGGCTATAGTAATTAAAACAGCATGGTACTGATATAAAAAGATATATATAGAATGGAATACAGTCGAGAACCCAGAAACAAAGTCACATACCTACCTACAAGCAGTTGATCTTTGACACACTTGACAAAAACATATACTGGGGAAAGAATATACTATTCAATAAATGGTACTGGGAAAATAGGATAGCCATATGCAGAAGAATTAAACTGAACTAATATCTCTCATTGTATATAAAAATTAGCTCAAGATGGATAAAAGACTTAAACATGAGAGCTTAAAACTCTAAACATTCTAAATGGAAACCTAGGAAAAACTCTTCTGGACATTAGCCTACAGAAATGATTTATTACTGAGACTTATATAGCAAATGCAACAAAACCAAAAATAGACAAATGGGACTTAATTAAAGTAAAATGCTTATGCACAGCAAAAGAAATATTTAACAGAGTAAAGAGATACACAAAATTGGAGAAAATATTTGCAAATTATGCACCTAACATAGGGCTAATATCCAGAATCTATAAGGAATGCAAACACTCAACCAGAAAAAACTAACCCCATCAAAAAGTGGTCAAAGAAGACTTTTCAAAATAACTTAAAACAGAACCACCACCATTTGACCCAGCAATCCCATTACTGGGCTTATATCTAAAAGAAAATAAATCATTCTACCAAAAAGACACATGCACTTGCAAGTTCATCACAGTACTATTCACAACGGTAAAGACATAGAATCAATCTAGGTGCTGATGAGTGGTGGATTAAATAAAAATTGTGGTATATATAAACCATTAAACACTTTGCAGCCATAAAAAAAAAAACCAAAAATGAAATCATGTCCCTTGTAACAACATAAATGAAGCTGGAGACCATTATCCTAAGCAAATTAATACAGAAACAGAAAACCCAATACTGCATGTTCTCACTTATAAGTGGGAGCTAAACATGGGTACTCTGGACATACAGATGACAACCATAGACACTTGGGACGACTAGAGGGAAGAGGGCAAGAGAGAGACAAGGGTTGGAAGACTTCCTCTTTTGTACTGTGCTGAGTACCTGCATAATGGGGTCACTTGTACCCCAAAACTCAGCATCATGCAATATACCTATGTAACTAACCTGCATGTGTATGCCCTGGACCTACAGTAAAAGTTAAAATTATTTTTGAAAATTAACAAAGAACATAAACAGATATTTTGCAAAAGGAGACATACAAATGGCCAACAAGCATATGAAAAAAATGCTCAATGTCACTAATCTCAGAGGAATGCAAATTAAAATTACATTGAGATATCATCTCACATCAGTCAGAATAACTATTATTCAAAGTCAAAAAATCACGGATGTGGAGAAAAGTAAATGCTTATGCACTGTTAGCAGAAATGTAAATTAGTATGACCTCTATGGAAGATAATATGCTGATTTACCTAAGAAGTAAAAATAGAAGTGCCGTTTGATCCAGCAATCCCACTGCAGGTGTCTACCCAAAGGAAAAGAAATCATCATATCAGAAAGATTCCTGTATTTGAATATTTATTGCAACGTTGTTCTCAATAGCAAAGATATGGAATCAACCCTAGTGACCATTAACAAATGAATGAATAAAGAAAATATGGTTATATATCCATGGAATGCTGCTCAGCCAAAAAAGTGAATGAAATAATGTATTTTGCAGCAACCTGGATGGAACTGGAGGCCACTCTCTTAAGTGAAATCACTGAGAAGCAGAAAGGCAAATGCCGCATGGTATCACTTACAAGTGCGAGCTAAATCATGTGTACACAAAACAGAGCGAGTAGAACAACAGATACTAGACACTCAAAAAGATGGGAGAGTGGAAGGGGAGTGAGGAATGAGAAATTACCTAATGAGTACAATGTACATTATTCGGGTGATGGTTACACAAAAGCCCAGATCTCACCAGTATGCAATATATCAGTGTAACAAAACTGTACTTGTACTCCCTAAATCTATATTTAAAAAATCAAGTAACATGTTAGAATTTTTTGTTATGCAATTATTGGGCATTGTTTCCTAGAAGTAAGCATATAACAAATGGCAGTTTTTTTGATAAGCTGATTTCATTTCACTTCTTTTATATATATATATATAGTATAATCATATATAATATTATATATAATTATATATATAATTATATTTGGAGTTGTGTATAATAGCTGATATGTAATATATAAAAATAGAAAAAATAGTTAAATTAACAGAATTAATGTAACAAAAAATTTAACAAAGCCAAATTGCTTGGTTATGTCTATGAAATAGTCAAATTGGTTTACTTCATCACATTCAGTTTAGAATATACCAGAAGCTCATTTTTTATTTCTATTTACAATGATTTTTATAAATATAAACATTTATATATAATTGATAATTCAATGAAAAAGTAAACTTTTGCTTCTTTCACTATTGTTTATAAATAACAAAACATGAAGAAACCTTTTCGAGAAATCTTTTCTCCCTCCAAATGCAACTGCTGAGAAATTCTATATAAAATAACTGATGGAATCATAGTTATTTTATGACATACACATGCGATGACTATTAATTTTACTTTTTCATGGATGTTCCAAACCAATACTTTAGTTAAAATGTTTATTGTCTGAAGCTATGTCATCCTTAACAAAAGCCTTACCATTATTGACTTCAAAGGTTAAAAAGATTGAGTATGTTATAATAGTTAGGCTTATATAAAAAATTGAAGCTTTCTCCAACAGGCTGTTTTTTTTTTCTTTTTTAAAACACACATTATTTTTCTTAAAACAGCCTGTTTGTGGCTTATTTTAATTTCATATTCAGATGTAGATTTGCCGTAACAACATACACTGCCTAGTCCTTTGATGTGTACAACTTACAAAAACAGCCAAATTTCAATGTTGGTTGTCATCATGAACCCTGAAGATGAAGCATACTTGCTATTTTCTAAGGGAAAGCAACTCATGATTTCATTATGAGAAGGTTAAAAAATACTTTTTTTGGTCTGACCATAAATTATTTAAAACATTAATTTTATCTTTAGGTTTTGTTTGTTGAGTTTGGGTGGATAAATGGAGTTAGTTTTGTGTGAGTTTTATTAATACAATGTTGTTTGTATTAATAATAGGAATTTTCAAATGAATGTTTTAGAATAGCAAATAGGATGCATTAATCTCTCCTAGTGTGTTAATAGTCACTGCACTTAAGAGCATATAATAAATATTAAATCAAGTGAAAATCACTTCTGATAATTATTCAATCAACCAAGCAATATTTATTCAAGGCCTACCATAGACTAGCCCCTGAGGTAAATTGGTAACCTTTTTGGTGCTAAATATTCACTTCCATCAGTAGATTTTATAGATAAGCAATTTAAAAATAAACACTAAAATAACTTACCTTTGGTTCCTTGAACTTGGAGGAAAATCCAAAAAACAAAAATAGCTCTTCTAATTTCCAAATACATTCTGGCTTTTGTGCATTGGTAATTCTGATAACAGTCACAGAACAACCTCAAATCCCATTAAAAAGTAACAGAAAAGTGAAAAATAATTAAATATTGATACCCACTGATTGAGGATAACCTTCTTGGTTTACCTTTATGAGGGTGGTAATTTATGAAGAACATGTAGCAGTGTCTGTTTCTGGGATAATCTGCTTGTCTTTCCCTTAGGAGTAATCTCTGCTTAAGGGCCAGCTGGAGGAACCTTTATCTCATTAACCTTCTGGAGGAGCATCTGTCAGCCTAGCTCCAGGACCCTGAATGCCGTTATAAACAAGCGTCTACATACACACTTCTTTCTTAGTAATTCACCTGTTACAATGACACAGAGAGCCAGGGGAAGTCCTGCCAAGCAGAGAATAAGGCTGACAGTTAGGGTAGATGTTTTCTAAAATGACATGCACGAGAAACCTCCATTAAAAGAGCTTAATTTCTATCCCTGAAAGTGTATGGTTATTCAATATGTATTAGTCTCTGCAGGCAGTGAAGCTGTCTCCATTCTCTTCTATGTTCTGCTTTGTAAATTGCTTTTGATTTGTAATTACATACATGTGGCTTTTTTGATTTAAGTCTCGTTTTAATTTTTAAAACTTGTATGCACAGAGTTTAAGGAGTCAATTATTTTTTACAAAGTTTATGAGAAAAAATTCTGCCTTTCTTCTATCCATACTTTCTTTCAAAGGGGAGCCATTTTTACTTCCTTAAGCGAATTCTTTTAGTAGTCTCATTTGCACTTCTAAATATAATGCCTCTATTACTATTTTGGAGGTTTTCACTTTTAGATATTATCAAACAATGGGTATTGAGAATAACTACTTCCACACACACCTTTTCCACTCACCATAAACATCTTTCCATCCTTCTATATCAGTGTTATTGTAGTTTCAGTTTTGAATATTTGGTTTTATATTATTTTGACTATACACATGCTGCATATTCCTGAGCCATGAAACACACTGTAATTACTACTGTGTATTGAGCTCTTTTGTTGTGGATGGACATTGTTCTTGGAGATGTCCATAGATTACCCATAGATTTCTCAATATGATGATATAAGTACTATTAATATTATCTCTTTAAAAGTGTATGTGGCAGAGCCAGGATTTGAACCTAAAGAGTCTGGTTCAAAAGCCTATATTCTTTTTTGTTTTTATTTTTGAGATGGGGTCTCACTCTGTCACCCAGATTGGAGTGCAGTGGTGTGATCATGGCTCATTGGCTCATTGCAGCCTCAACTTCCCTGGGGTCAGGTGATCCTCCAACCTTAGCCTCCTGAGTATCTGGGACTGTAGGTACATGCCACCATGCTGGCTAATTTTTTGTATTCTTTTGTAAAGATGGGGTTTCCCCATGTTTCCTGGGCTAGTCTTGAACTTCTGGGCTCAAGTGATCTGGCAGCCTTGGCCTCCCAAAGTGCTGGCATTATAGGCATGAGCTACAGCACCCGACCAAGAGCCTATACACTTCATCACTATCCTTCTATGATACTTTTTGGAATTGTCTCATTTTTTAAAAAATGTTTTCTTAGTTTCTAAATACAAAATAATAAATTACCCCTAAATGTTACCCTGGATATGTAAATCTCTTCATATAGTTAAACACTTCAGATAGTCTCTCTTTCCAAGAGCTTTCTAACCCTCTTCAGTCTGTATTATTTAATTTCTTGTCATTGTTCACAGCAGTCATCTGGGGATCGCTGTTCACAATCATATTGAGGATTCCTTCGACCTCTCTCTTGTATTGGATTCTGTGATTTATGGATCCTGTATTGTCTCTTTCTTGATCTCTTGTTTTAGCATAGCACATGCTCTAGTACATTACTGAAAGTTTGTGGTCAATAAATTTAAAATCTTACATGTTTGAAAATGGTTTCCATCTATCCTCATACCTGGTTGATAGTTTGGTTGGATATAGAATTATATGTTGAAAATAATATTCACTTAGGTATTGAAAATGTTGGCTGTAGTAATTCTAAAATTGTATTACTGTTGTCTTCTTTCTCATGGTTTGTTGTGGCTTTATAGTCAAAAAAATTCCTTAAACATTATTTTCTTGGGGTATGCAGAGGTGGTCAAAGGTAATAGATTTTTAGGTCTTATCTTCAACTACCGATTATTTTTGTAATATTTAAAGAAAATTACCATCAACTGGTATAGAATCATACTTATAACAATGTATCTGAAAATGAGAAATGAACTTCGTGAAAGATGTATCTATTTTTACATAACCATATGTAGGAAAAATGATATGAGAATGCAATAGATTAGATATATATTTATATATAAATATTGCTAAAATACATTCACATTAGCTGAAAAAATAATTCTCTCTTGGTTTGCTATATAGCTTTATGTTATACTAACATTTCTAACCCTGTTGTGAAGTATTTCTTCTTTCTCTAGGAAAGAAACAAATAATTTCAAGTTCTGAAAACAATTGCCTCCTAACAGTCTTCTTAATGAAATATGTTGCTTAAGAAAAATATAGGATAGACTAATTTGTGTTCAAGAAGATATCCTCTATCATAGATATGAATATAGAAGTATTTAATTTGTTTTAAAATAACAGATATTTAAAAGTTTCTCTTGGTGGCAGTACCTGATGCCCTTTTCTCCACTTTTGATGAAAAATCTGGGAAACTAGTGTTGATAACTCCCACTTAGAAAGCAAGTAAGAATGACAAATATTCATTATTCCCAAGACAATGCTTTCTGGGACCATCAAGCTGTTTTCTAATTACAATTGTGTTTAATTATGGGTCACTGTTAATTAATCCAGAAGTGCTTCTTCAAGGTGGTTGTCAACTATAACTAGTATTCTTTTTTTTTTTAATTTTTTATTGCATTTTAGGTTTTGGGGTACATGTGCAGAACATGCAAGACAGTTGCATAGGTACACACATGGCAGAGTGGTTTGCTTCCTTTCTCCCCTTCTCCCACATTTGGCATTTCTCCCCAGGCTATCCCTCCCCACCTCCCCCTCCCACTGGCCCTCCCCTTTTCCCCCCAATAGACCCCAGTGTTTAGTACTCCCCTCCCTGTGTCCATGTGTTCTCATTTTTCATCACCTGCCTATGAGTGAGAATATGCAGTATTTCATTTTCTGTTCTTGTGTCAGTTTGCTGAGAATGATGTTCTCCAGATTCATCCATGTCCCTACAAACGACACAAACTCATCATTTCTGATTGCTGCATAATATTCCATGGTGTATATGTGCCACATTTTCCCAATCCAGTCTGGCATCAATGGGCATTTTGGTTGATTCCAGGTCTTTGCTATTGTAAAGAGTGCTGCAATGAACATTCGTGTGCATGTGTCCTTATAGTAGAACGATTTATAGTCCTTTGGATATATACCCAGTAATGGGATTGCTGGGTCAAATGGAACTTCTATTTGTAAGGCCTTGAGGAATCGCCACACTGTCTTCCACAATGGTTGAACTAATTTACACTCCCACCAACAGTGCAAAAGTGTTCCTTTTTCTCCATATCCTCTCCAGCATCTGCTGTCTCCAGATTTTTTAATGATCGCCATTCTAACTGGCGTGAGATGGTATCTCAATGTGGTTTTGATTTGCATCTCTCTGATGACCAGTGATGATGAGCATTTTTTCATATGATTGTTGGCCTCATATATGTCTTCTTTTGTAAAGTGTCTGTTCATATCCTTTGCCCAATTTTGAATGGGCTTGTTTGTTTTTTTCCTGTAAATCTGTTTGAGTTCTTTGTAAATTCTGGATATCAGCCCTTTTCAGATGGGTAAACTGCAAAAATTTTTTCCCATTCTGTTGGTTGCCGATTCACTCTAGTGACTGTTTCTTTTGCCGTGCAGAAGCTGTGGAGTTTCATTAGGTCCCATTTGCCTATTTTGGCTTTTGTTGCCAATGCTTTTGGTGTTTTGTTCGTGAAGTCCTTGACTACTCCTATGTCCTCGATGGTTTTGCTTAGATTTCCTTCTAGGGTTTTTATGGTGCCAGGTCTTATGTTTAAGTCTTTAATCCATCTGGAGTTAATTTTAGTGTAAGGTGTCAGGAAGGGGTCCAGTTTCTGCTTTCTGCACATGGCTAGCCAGTTCTCCCAACACCATTTGTTAAACAGGGAATCCTTTCCCCATTGCTTGTTTTTGTAAGGTTTATCAAAGATTGTATGGTTATAGATATGTTGTGTTGCCTCTGATGCTTTATGCTCTGTGTTGTTCCATTGGTCTATATCTCTGTTTTGGTACCAGTACCATGCTGTTTTGATTACTGTAGCCTTGTAGTATAGTTTGAAATCCAGTAGTGTGATGCCCCCCGCTGTGTTCTTTTTGCTTAGAATTGACTTGGCTATGCGGGCTCTCTTTTGGTTCCATATGAAGTTCATGGTGGTTTTATCCAGTTCTGTGAAGAAAGTCAATGTTAGCTTGATGGGGATAGCGTTGATTCTGTAAATTCCTTTGGGCAGTACAGCCATTTTCACGATATTAATTCTTCCTAACCGTGAACATGGAATGTTTCTCCATCTGTTTGTGTCCTCTCTTATTTTGTTGAGCAGTGGTTTGTAGTTTTCCTTGAAGAGGTCCCTTACGTTCCTTGTGAGTTGTATTCCTAGGTATTTTGTTCTTTTTGTAGCAATTGTGAATGGCAGTTCGTTCTTGATTTGGCTTTCTTTAAGTCTGTTATTGGTGTAGAGGAATGCTTGTGATTTTTGCACATTGATTTTATATCCTGAGACTTTGCTGAAGTTGCTTATCAGTTTCAGGAGTTTTTTGGCTGAGGCGATGGGGTCTTCTAGGTATACTATCATGTCGTCTGCAAATAGAGACAATTTGGCTTCCACCTTTCCTATTTGAATACCCTTTATTTCTTTTTCTTGCCTGATTGCTCTGGCTAGAACTTCCAGTACTATATTGAATAGGAGTGGTGAGAGAGGGCATCCTTGTCTAGTGCCGGATTTCAAAGGGAATGCTTCCAGTTTTTGCCCATTCAGTATGATATTGGCTGTTGGTTTGTGATAAATAGCTTTTATTACTTTGAGATACGTTCCATCGATACCGAGTTTATTGAGGGTTTTTAGCATAAAGGGCTGTTGAATTTTGTCTAATGCCTTCTCTGCATCAATTGAGATAATCATGTGGTTTTTGTTTTTGGTTCTGTGTGTGTGGTGAATTACATTTATAAAGTTGCGTATGTTGAACCAGTCTTGCATCTCTGGGATGAATCCTACTTGATCATGATGGATAAGTTTTTTGATTTGCTGTTGCAATCGGCTTGCCAATATTTTATTGAAGATTTTTGCATCTATGTTCATCATGGATATTGGCCTGAAGTTTTCTTTGCTTGTTGGGTCTCTGCTGGGTTTTGGTATCAGGATGATATTGGTCTCATAAAATGATTTGGGAAGGATACCCTCTTTTTGGATTATTTGGAATAGTTTCAGAAGGAATGGTACCAGCTCCTCTTTGTGTGTCTGGTCGAATTTGGCTGTGAACCCATCTGGACCTGGGCTTTTTTTGTGTGGTAGGCTCTTAATTGCTGCCTCAACTTCTGCCCTTGTTATTGGTCTATTCATAATTTCAGCTTCCTCCTGGTTTAGGCTTGGGAGGACACAGGAGTCCAGGAATTTATCCATTTCTTCCAGGTTTACTAGTTTATGTGTATAGAGTTGTTTGTAATATTCTCTGATGATGGTTTGAATTTCTGTGGAATCTGTGGTGATTTCCCCTTTATCATTTTTTATTGCATCTATTGTTCTCTCTTTTCTTTTTAATCATTCTGGCTAGTGGTCTATTTTGTTGATCTTTTCAAAAAACCAGCTCTTGGATTTATTGATATTTGGAAGGGTTTTTCGTGTCTCTATCTCCTTCAGTTCAGCTCTGATCTTAGTTATTTTTTGCCTTCTGCTGTATTTTGAGTTTTTTTGATCTTGCTCCTCTAGCTCTTTTAATTTTGATGATAGGGTGTCAATTTTGGATCTCTCCATTCTCCCCATATGGGCACTTATTGCTGTATATTTTCTTCTAGAAAGTGCTTTAAATGTGTCCCAGAGATTCTGGCTTGTTGTGTCTTCATTCTCATTGGTTTTGAAGAACTTCTTTATTTCTGCCTTCATTTCATTGTTTATCGAGTCAACATTCAAGAGCCAGTTGTTCAGTTTCCATGAAGCTGTGCGGTTCTGGGTCGGTTTCTGAATTCTGAGTTCTAACTTGATTGCACTATGGTCTGAGAGGCTGTTTGTTATGATTTCAGTTGTTTTGCATTTGCTGAGGAGTGCTTTACTTCCAATTATGTGGTCAATTTTCGAGTACGTGTGATGTGGTGCTGAGAAGAATGTATATTCTGTGGATTTGGGGTGGAGAGTTCTGTAAATGTCTATCAGGTTTGCTTGCTCCAGGTCCGAGTTCAAGCCCTGGATATCCTTGTTGATTTTCTGTGTGGTTGATCTGTCTAATATTGACAGTGGAGTGTTAAAGTCTCCCAGTATTACTGTGTGGGAGTCTAAGTCTCTTTGTAGGTCATTGAGAACTTGCCTTATGTATCTGGGTGCTCCTGTATTGGGTCCGTATATGGTTAGGATCGTTAGCTCTTCTAGTTGTATACGATCCTTTTATCATTATGTAATGTCCTTTTTTGTCTCTTTTGATCTTTGTTGCTTTAAAGTCTATTTTATCAGAGATGAGAATTGCAACTCCTGCTTTTTTTTGCTCTCCATTTGCTTGGTAAGTCTTCCTCCATCCCTTTATTTTGAGCCTTTGTGTATCCTTGCATGTGTGATGGGTTTCCTGGATACAGCACACTGGTGGGTTTTGGATTTTTATCCAATTTGTCAGTCTGTGTCTTTTGATTGGTGCATTTAGTCCATTTACATTTAGGGTTAATATTGTTATGTGTGAATTTGATACTGCCATTTTGAGGCTAGCTGGCTGTTTTGCCCATTAGTTGATGTAGATTCTTCATTATGTTGATGCTCTTTAGCATTTAGTGTGATTTTGGAATGGCTGGTACTGGTTGTTCCTTTCTATGTTTAGTGGCTCTTTCAGGAGCTCTTGTAAAGCAGGCCTGGTGGTGACAAAATCTCTGAGTACTTGCTTGCTTGCAAAGGATTTTATTTTTCCTTCACTTCTGAAGCTCAGTTTTGCTGGATATGAAATTCTGGGTTGAAAGTTCTTTTCTTTAAGGATGTTGAATATTGGCCCCCACTCTCTTCTGGCTTTTAGAGTTTCTGCCGAGAGATCTGCTGTGAGTTTGATGGGCTTCCCTTTGTGTGTGTCCCGACCTTTCTCTCTGGCTGCCCTCAGTATTTTCTTCTTTATTTCAACCCTGGTGAATCTGATGATTATGTGCCTTGGGGTTGCTCTTCTTGTGGAATATCTTTGTGGTGTTCTCTGTATTTCCTGCATTGAGTGTTGGCCTGTCTTGCTAGGTGGGGGCAATTTTCCAGGAAAATGTCCTGAAGAGTATTTTCCAGCTTGGATTAATTCTCTTTGTCACATTCTGGTACACCTAAAAAATGTAGATTAGGTCTCTTCACATAGTCCCACATTTCTTGGAGACTTTGTTCATTCCTTTTTGTGCTTTTTTCTCTGATCTTGGTTTCTCATTTTATTTCATTGAGTTGATCTTCGACTTCTAATATTCTTTCTTCTGCTTGGTCAGTTTGGCTGTTGAAACTTGTGCATGCTTCGTGAAGTTCTCGTATTGGGTTTTTCAGCTCCTTTAATTCATTCATATTCCTCTCTAAGGTATCCATTCTTGTTATCATTTCCTTGAATCTTTTTTCAAATTTTTTTTTCAGGGTTATTAGTTATTTTGCATTGATTTAAAACATCTTCTTTTAGCTCACAAAAGTTTCTCATTATCCACCTTCTGAAGTCTAATTCCATCATTTCGTCACAGTCATTCTTTGTCCTGCTTTGTTCCCTTGCTGGTGAGGAGTTTTGGTCCTTTGTAGGAGGCGAGGTGTTCTGGTTTCGGGTGTTTTTCTCCTTTTTGTGCTGGTTTCTTCCTATCATTATGGATTTATCCACCTGTCTTCTGTGTAGTTGCTGACTTTTCCATTGGGTCTCTGAGTGGATGCCCAGATTGTTGATGATGAAGTATTTCTGTTACTTGGTTATCCTTCTACCAGTCTAGCCCCTCCACTGTACGACTGCTGAGGTCCACTTCAGGCCCTGCTTGTCTGGGGTGCACCTCTAGCAGCTGTGGCACAGTTAGGGATGCTACCAGTTTCTTTTTCTGCTATCTTTGTCCCAGAATGATGCCTGCCAAATGTCAGTCTTCTGGATATAAAGGGGTCAGGGAGCTGCTTGAGGAGACAGTCTGTACTTTATAGGAGCTCAAGTGCTGAGTTGTGAGCTCTGTGGTTCATTCAGGGCTGTTAGGCTGCTACGTTTAATTCTCCTGCAACAGAACTCATTAAAAAATCCTTTTTTTCTCAGATGCTCTGTTTCGGAGGGGTTGCAGCTTTCTTTGTGAGTGTCCGTTGTGCTGTCCTGCCCAGCTAGGAGGCAGTCTAGTCACTATTTGCCTGCTGAGGGCCCTGCTGGTGTGAGGTTTGCCCTGTTGCTTCTGGCTCTGCCCTTCTGCTGCAGTCTCCGCCCTGCTGCCATGGGCTACGCCCTGTGGTGGAGTCTCTCTGTTGTAGCCGGTTGCCTCGACAATGGCAGGCTGTGTCAGCAATGGGCGTGTACCTCATTAGGGGAAGATTGCCTTGGCAATGGTGGACAACTCTTCCCCCTGGAGCTGCACCATACTGGGTTCAGCTGTGCCCTAAGGGAACCTCTCCACCGGGAGCGTTTGGAATCTCCATTTTGTTTTTCCCACCGCGCTACCCCAAACGCTGTTTTCCTGGAATCTTCTGGGCTGGCTCACTGTCCAAGTCCCATTCAGTCTCAAGTTCAGCCCTCTCATGTCTCAGATTGCCGGTTCAACAGGGCACCTGAACCAGTGCACTTTGTGTGGAGCGCTGTGTAGCGCCACTGCGCTACAGCGCCAGCCACCGGCCGCACTGGCTGCCAGCTGCACCAGCCAAAACCTCTACCTGGCATCTTGTGTCTCTTTTATACCTGGGAATTTTCTTGTTCTGTGGGCAACAAAGATCCGTGTGGAAATGCGGCCCTGACTCACCCTCTTCGTGCATTCACCGAGAGCTTCAATCCTGGGTTGTTCTCACTGCACCATCTTGAGTCCTCTCTATAACTATTATTCTTAAAGAGGTAAGCTTTCCCCTGTATTTTCTGGTAGAATTTCAGTGGTGCATTTAAAATGTACAAGGTAGGGTAGAAAAGGCAGTATATCCTTCCAGTTATGTTCCTCTATCTGAAATCTATAAATACAAATAATAAGTTTTAGTCTGTTTTCACACTGCTATAAATAACTGAGACTGGGTAATTTATGAGGAGGAAAGATTTGACTAATAGGCAGGCCTAACAGGAAGAATGACTTGGGAGTCTCAGCCAACTTACAATCATGGCAGAAGGCAAAGGGGAAACAAGGCATGTCTTCTTGTGGTGGCAGGAGAGAGAGAGCAACGAGGGCAATGTCAAGACTTTAAACCATCAGATTTTGTGAGAACTCACTCGCCGTCTTGAGAACAGCATGGGGTTAACCACCACCATGATCCAAACACCTCCCACTGGGTCCCTCTCCTGAAATATGCGGATTATAATAAGATGAGATTTGGGTGGAGGTATAGAGCAAACCATATCATGTTTACCAAAATGAATTAGTTAATATCACAGAGAAATGATTCCATTTATTAATTGAAATAGATACAATTTTTTGAGTTTCTATTAAATACCAAACTCTCAATTAGTTGCTTTGTATGCATTTATATGACATTTTCCCAGCACCCTCGTGAGGTACGCACTATTTTTTTAAATTAATTTTTTAATAGAGGTTTTTTATTTTTTGTAGAGATGGAGTCTCACTCTGTTGCCCAAAGTTGTCTCAAACTCTTGGATTCAAGTCATGCTCCTGTGTTGGCTTCCCAGAGTGTTGGGATTAGAGGTGTGAGCCACTGTACCCAGCTCGTAAGTACCTTTTTTATTTACATTTCACAGTTGAGAAAACTGAGAGTTACAGATGGTGGGTACATTATTCAACTATGAAACTAATAAAACTGAAGCAGGTTTTCTACTCAAGATCTTTCTGCTTTCAAAACCTATGTTCTCTCTGTTGTCCCTCACTATGTTCCCTCTATAGGAAAAACATTCTGAACAAGTAACTGGTACTGATTGGACAAATTAACACTGAACAGAAGAGAAGCCATGAAAAGGCAGGGTCCTATCAAGTGGTCACTGTTTACATTGTTTTTTTCCTTCACATTACACCTACTAACTTAAACATATGTACAGTGGTTACATAGGAATCTAAAAGTTTCTGTCTCTGGAATGGTGTAGTCTTTTCTTTGGTAGTAGGACTAATGTCCTCTTACTATTTCTAGGTTTCTCTTTGTTAACATTATTGGTTGTTGATTTGTCTCTCCAATCCAGGCAGGCACAGGGGATTCTTCATACATTTCCATCACCATCAAAATGTGTGATTAGTCATGAGTAGTTGAACTTCTCCTAGAAGGAACCACCACTAGGAGGGGCAAATAGGCACTGTCATACATATTAAATCTGTAATCTGGAGGGAATAGGTTGTATTAGTTTTGAAAAACCCTAATATCTTCATCTGTATTTCTTGATATTTTTAAGAAATGCCTTTCTTGCTAATAGAAGGTTCACTCTGTGTAGCTCAGAGTTTTTCCTGCATTATTAATCATAACTTAGAAATCAGGGATATAATGCACAGAAACACAAGGATAACATTAATTGGAATGTCATCTAAGGTAGGATTCCATCCCTTGAGTTTACCCTCTGGATCCACCTCACTTTCATTGTCAGCAAAAGACTATAGGATTAAACAAAAATGGATTCCTCAGACATAATGAGGAAAGAAGAAACAGGTGGAACCTACCAAAAGCTGCACGAGAGCAAAAATAAATGGAGGCAATCATACGGCCTCAAGATGACAGTTTTAGCGAGGATGAGATTGATAGCAACCCAGATACAGAGGACCTACATCCTTATTTCTCATTATTTTCTCGGAGACATCTTTACTGAATGCTAGTGTGGGAAGCTTGAATAATCCCATTCTCTTGTGGAGAAATAGCAGGTCAGCCTTCCTCCAAAGGCTCTTAACATAGGGCTCTTTCCTGTCTTGCTTCTTTGCCCCTCTCCAAGTTCTTGGTAATAAATACAGCAAATACAGAATGAACTGATCTAGTCCATTGGTAAAAATAATCATAAGCCACAGACTAGAAAAACACACAAGCAGGCAATTTAAAAAAATCTTAAACGTGTCAATCTGCATGTATTTTGAAATGCTGATTTTTCCAAAATAATTAGCTGCAACTGCTAAGAGAATCCACATGTTTGGTCTCAGCAAGTTACATATATTCCCTTCTATATGTGGTTGAAGAAGTCATGATAAATGTTGCACATTCTAAGAGCACAGAGACTTGAATTGAGAGACATTAAAACCCAGTTTAAATGATGCTACTGAAATATCTTTGTGGCTTGCATTCCTCCAATCTTATTGTCTGAGCACTTAGGCACACGGCAAGGAAGTATGAATGATCAGCAGGGTCAAGGGTTTCAAAGAGAATCAAGATGATGAGTGCTGAGGAAACTCTGTTGAAACTGATAGGGAGACATCTGTTACCTTTGGGAGGCCATTTCAGTAGCTTAGTTGGGAAGGAAGTCAGCCCGCAGTGCATTACAGTGTAATTGGATGGCGAAAAAGATGCAGTGAGTGAGATTCCTTTTTATATAGTCAAGCAGCAAAAGACCAGAGAGAATTAGTTTAATAAGCTAGTCAGGAAAAAACACAAGGCTATTTTAGAAAAGGATCGTTTAGATGCAGAGCAAGAGGCATGGTGAAAGTGTGTTTGTAGCACAGTTAAGGGAGGAAGAGAGAGAGCGATCGAGATCAAGATCTGCTAGTGCAAGATTTTGTCTGCTTAACAAGCACTTGCTTAAAAAGAAGTTTACGAAATCCTTCACTTTGTAGGACTCAAAAAAGTGTTAGAGCATGAAACACAAAGACATATATGCTCTTGCAGTGGCACGCAGTCTGAAAGTGATATAATGCATATAAAGATAATGAAATGGGGTTACTAGTTCAGTACCTTTCAAAGTGATGCCATATGAAAAATGCTAGCCAAAACACTTTAATCATAGTAACAAATATTTTTGTGTTTTAAGCCCTTTAGATGTCTTTAATTTCTATATTAACCATATTAGGTGACTATTATTGCCATGTTGCAGATGAGGAATTTAAAGCTTAAGGGGGTTAAGAAAGTTTTTTCCATTTCATAGCTAATAAGTGATTTAAGCACAGTCTCTGATCACAAGTTAGAATCCTACACTTATTAACTATCAGTAAAAATGAGTGAGATGCATGATCTGAAGTCTCAAATAGACATTCAGCAAAGAGGCTACACTCCAAAGATGGCTACTATAATCATCAGTGACTTTTAATTTGGATTAATACCAGAGTTTTAAATACTAGCATAATGAAGGATAGAAATGGGCATTCATTGGAGAAATTAGTGGCTTGTTAATTAGATAATGGAAATGGGCATGTACTAAATGAGATTAGAAATAGTTAAAATTTGTGTATTGGTTAAAATATTTTAGAAAGATTCCCTGTTCTGACACAAGTCTAGTGTGTCACTCTTCAGTCTGATGATGAAGTTGGACACTTGTTCCTCTAGAGTCCTGTTGCCTAGTCATATCTCTGGAGGATCCTTGCTAACTGATGATGAAAATGAGGCCACTTAAATTTGCCTCTAGACTTTTTTGCGTTTATACCAAAGAAAGCCCATGTAATGCATGGTTGGAACAACTTCAATCCTTTTTTGAAACCCAGGTGGGATTTTATTGAACCTACAGAACAGGTGATATGGTCTATTTGAGGACTGCTTACTAATACTTGCTAATTTAATAATAGTTTGCATATGTAGAAGATTTTTGTTTTATTCTTTCTTTTACTGAAACCTGGTAATAAGGTTGTAGGAGATAGCTGCCTCTAAACCACTTTCAACTATTAGTGCCCATGTAACCTACTAAACTCAACCTGTTTGTATTTACCTAAATTGGCCTAGATCAATTTAACACATAACTTCGTGAATTTTCTCTATAAATTAACTTTTCCAGTTTACAAAGAAACCATTTCTCACCTTTTAATATTAATATCCTGATGATTTTCTCCCCAGATTTCACCTATATGCCCTCTAGTTTTACTGAGAAAATAGGTATAGTCAGCAAGTCCTACCCAGAGCAATTGGGAAAGAGGAAGAAATGAAAGGCATTGAAATAGGAAAAGAAGGCAACTTGTCTCTCTTCACTGATAGTATAATTATATACTGAGAAAACCCTAGACTTTGCCAAAAGGCTTCTGAGATAGATAAACAACTTCAGTAAAGTTTCAGGATACAAAATCAATATACAAAAACCAGTAGCATTTCTGTATCCCCAAAGCATTCAAGATGAGTACCAAGTCAAGAACGTATTCTCATTTACAATAGCCATGCACACAACAATCAAGTATCTAGGAATACATCTAACCAAGGAGGTGAAAGATCTCTACAAAGAGAACTGCGGAACACTGCTTAAAGAAGTCAAAGATGACACAAACAAATGGAAAAACATTCTATGCTCATGGATGAGAAAAACTAATATCATTAAAATGGCCACACTTTCAAAGCACTTTACAGATTCAAGGCTATTTCTATCAAAATATCAATCTAATTTTTCACAGAACTAGAAAAACTATTATAAAATTCATATGGAACCCATAAACAGCCCAAATAGCCAAAGCAATTCTAAGTAAAAAGAACAAAGCCAGAGACATCACATTACCTGACTTCACGCTGTAAAGAGAGTAACCAAAACAGCATGGTACGGATACAAAAACAGACGTACAGACTGGAATAGAACACTCCATTAAAAAGTAGGCAAAAGAAACGAACAGACACTTCTCAAAGGAAGACATACAAACAACCAAGAAACATAGGAAAAAATGCTCCACATCACCTAATTAGAGAAGTGCACATCAAAACCACAATACGATATTATCTCATATCAGTCAAAATGGCTATTAGTAAAAAGTCAAAAACAACAATGCTGGTGAGACTGTGGAGAAATGGGAACACTTACACACTGTTGATGGGAATGCAAATTAATTTAGACACTGTGGAAATCAGTTTGGAGATTTCTCAAAGAACTTAAAACACAGCTACTATTTGACCCAGCAATCTCATTGCTGGGATTTTATATCCAAAAGAAAATAAATCATTCTACCAAAAAGATACCCACACTTGAAAGTTCACCAGAACATTATTCAAAACAGCAAAGACATGGAATCACCCTAAGTGCCCATTTATAGTGGATTGGATTGGATAAAGAAAATGTGGTACATATATACTGTGAAATACTATACAGCAATAAAAAGAATGAAGTTATATCCTTTACAGCAACATGGATGCAGCTAGAAACCATTATCCCAAGTGAATCAATGTAGGAACAGAAAACAAAATACTGTATGTTGTCCCTTATAAAGGGAGGTATAATTCTGGGTACTCATAGGCATAGAGATGGTAACCATAGACACTGGGGAGTACTATAGGAGAGAGTGTGAGAGGGGGCCAATAGTTCAAAAACTAACTTCTGGATACTCTGCTCACTATTTTGGTGACAGGATCATTCCTATCCCAAACCTCAGCATCATGCAGTATACTCATGTGAGAAACATGCACTGCTATATCTAATATGAATTTGAAATTATTTAAAAAAAATAAGAAAATAAGTGTAATCAGAGGGACAGTCCTTCAGCTTTCCTCATCTTCCATCATCAACTGTTAACCATTAACCATCAACTATTAACTTAGATTTGGTGTTTATCATGTCTATGCATGTTTATATATACTAATGCAAAAACATATGTTTGTATTATTTTTATGCATTTTTTAATGTTAAATAAG